AAAAAAGCCGGTCTCCAGGTCACATCCAGGACCACAGTGGCCACGTCAAGGCACAACTCCGACGGGGGAGCTGGGGAAGCTGGTGGACTCTGCAAAAAAAGAGTGGGCGAGGGTTACAGGGCTGTGTGCTGGGCTCACAGCAGTGCAGGGGACACCAAGCCCACACCAGGGCAGGACTCACTGCAGCACAGGTCTGTGGTGGTCTCATACGTGGAAGGTTCCGTCACGGGGCAGTCGGTGCCCGGAGGAAGGCACGGAGGGAGAGCTGCGTCCCAGGGCAGGTGCTACCCCCTCCCTGCGTTTTTACCTCCCGCTTCCGCTTGAAGCCCTGGGGGAGACACACAGCAGGACTAAACCAAACCCCAAGGGTCCCCACGGCCTTCAGGGATCCTCTCTGGAGCAAGGGGCCCCTGGTCCTGGGGACATCCAGCCAGGCAAATCTCCCCGACCCAGGCTGGGGTTGCTCCTTGGCCTGACCCCAGATCCCAGGGGGGCTTCAGCACCACACACGCGAGGCCGCCCACAGCACCAGGGAGCAGCTCCTGAGGCCCCACACACCGTGGAGCGATGCTCACCTTGCCACGGCCGCTCTCCTTCCCACGCTGCTTCTCACATGCTTTCAGCACCTGAAGAAAGCACAAGAGAGCCCAGAGCTGAACAGCAGCCAGGTCCTGGAACCGGCGCAGCCCAGAGAGGCTGGGGGGATGCCAGAGGCTCCCCCAGGAAGATAGAGGGAAGGGAGGAAAGGTCCAGGTGCCCCCCAGTACCTTCTTCATGGCCGTGGACACAGCCGAGGCATGGAACTCCTCCTCCGTCACCCAGCGCGATGGGGATGAGGCAGGGTCCAGGGTCACGTCCCCGTCCAGGGGCAGGGAGTAGACCACATACGTCTGGTGGATGTGAGAAAAGATGTGGACGACCTGCGAGGGGATGGGAAGACACATGAAAAGAGCAGCTGGCAGGCAGCAGGGGAAGCATCACTCGGCTGCCCCACAAGTGCACTGAGTCTGCCAGGACTCTGAGGAGCAGGGCAGGGCTTGGGAAGGGTGACAGCAGGGAAGGGGACCCTCTTCCCCTTGTGCTACATCCCCCATGGCTGAGCTCAGGGGGCTCACGCTGCATCCCTCCGGCTCCAGGCTCACCTCTCCGATGTACCGCAGGCCTCTGGCCACCACAGGCTGCGCCATCCAGGCCTGGAGGTGATCTGCCAGCACCTCCCTCTGCTTCTCCTCCTGCAGACCCTGAGCCAGTGGGAGACTTGGGAACTCCCAGAGCCCAGCCAGGAGACCTGGGGAAGGAGCAGGACACGGATGTGAGTCCGCAAGGGGCACATCTGGGGACACTGAGCCCCATCATAGCCCCAAGGGGCTCCTGTCCCCACCCCAGCAGCAAGCGCATTGCTGGTGCATCCCTCTCCCAGGTCGCTCTGTCCCTTGTACAGGTGGGAAGGGGCTGCGCGGTGCCTTCTCCTCGCTCCTGCCCAGCCCCATTACCCGAGCTGGGTCTCTGCACGATGAGGTACTCTGGGGCCCCACGGCAGCCCCTCCGCTCCAGCACACATGTGGCCGTTCGCATCACCCGTGGTTGCTTCTTTGCTGCTTTCCGGGGGAAGTTGGTCACCCCCAGGCTACTGTCCCATGGCTCCGCGGCCGGGGGGCATAGGGGACAGCCCCCAACACCTGCAAACACCAATGTAACAATTGCCATAGGGCCCAGACCCAGAGCTACAACAGGGATCTCCCCGTGCGCTTACCACAGTCCTCAACATCAGGCACTGGCGTGGGTTTTCCAAACAGTTTCTGAGAGGCGAAGGCCAGCTCCTTCTCCACCTGCAAGGAGGGAGAGGAACAAGGGCAGGCTCATCCACCAGCCCACCTTGTCCCTATGCACGGCAACCCCTCGGAGCCACATTTTGGGGTCATACTTACCCTGCGCCGTGCTCGGCAGTGCTGCTTCACGGGGCACTCCCCGCACAGCGGGGCCTTGGGCACACACACAGTTGCCCCCAGCTCCATCAGGGCCTGGTTAAAATCCCCCGGGCGGCTCCTGTCTACCAGGGCATTGGCCATGTCCCTGGGAGAAACAGCAGTGAGCGGCCCCAGGACCTTTGCCTGCCTCCTGCCTGCGAGGGGGGATGCTCCTAGGTGAGCAGAGGCAACACGGCTCCTTTCTCCACCAGTCCCACCAGCACCACCTTCCCAGGAGCTCCCACACCCCACACCGATCTCCCTTCTCAGGTTCAGCTTCCCACGGCTCCCAAGTGACCCTGCCCTTGGCCACCAACAAGCACAGCCACGATGGCTGCAGCTCAGAGCAGGGACAGAGCGTTTCCCTTACCAGAGCCAGTCAATGATGGCCGGGCTGCTGGAGTCAGCACCGATGCCCCGCAGGCGGCACAAGACCCGGATCACTTTCCCATCCACGACGCCGGTAGCCTAGGACCAGGAGCTGGGGTTACCGTGCCAGGAGATGCTCGTGCTACTAGCAAGGCAGGGAGTTGGGGTGCTCCCAGGACAGAGGGGGAACATACACAAGGCCGACCCACGGGCCAAGCTGGGCGGTGGGCAAGATGCACTGCAAAGCAGGGGAGAGCCAGAGCCAAGCACAGCCCTGGGGAGCCCCTGGCTTCTGAGACCCAGCAGCAGGACCCCGCCAGGAGTGGGGTTGGGTGGCAGAGAACGGCTGTGGCCCGGCTGTCACCTGCCCGTACGAGATGGACGCGAGGGCTCCGGCCGTGTATCGGCCCACTCCTGGCAGCAGCTTCTGCAGGTCCTCAGCTGTCCTGGGCATCTGGCCAGCCAGCTCGGACACCACCTGGCAGAGAGGGGGCTGAGGTCAGGGGAGCAGCTGGGATGCACATGCGCAAACCATTTTACCCGCAGTAAGACTGGATCCCAGCCTCTGCAGCCTTGGGCCAGCAGCACACAGCCCGAGAGACACAGAGCAGATGTGAGCCAGCATCAACCCACGGGCCGCAGAGGGCTTTGGAAATGTCCCCCACACCCCAGCACCAGGGCACCTTCCTCGCTGCCTCCTGTAGACGCTTCCCTCTCGAGTAGTAGCCAAGTCCGGCCCACAGCTCGTTCACCTCCTGCTCCAAGAGACATGGTGCGGTGTTAGATGAAGAGTCACGAGGGCAAGGACAGCACCTGGTCCCAGCAATGCTCACCTCCAGGGACGCCTGCGCCAGAGCCTGCAGCGTCGGCCACTTCTGCGGTACAGAGGGAAGGGGACAAGTCAGGGACAAGCAGAGCCATGCTCTGGAGCGGGGGATCTGCCACAGGCGGTGGACAAGGTCTCCAAGAGGAGCAGCCTGTGGGCACAGGATTCTGTAAGGAACAGTCACCTGCATCCAGCGGTTGTAGTAGTCGATCACCGTAGCCACCTGCGTCTGCTGGAGCATGATCTCAGACACCCACACTGCACGGAGCAGGGCAGGGATCAGAACAGAGGCACCAATGCCACCCACACTTCGTGCCGTGGCCACATTAGTACTGGCTACAAGCACCGCACCAGCATCCAACCCATGGGACCCCTTCCCCACATGCTGCACCGCAGGAGCCCCTTTAGGCCCAAAGCGGGCTCTCCAACCCCCCAGTGCCTTGCAAGGGAGGTCAGCGGCTCTCGTGGCCACTCCAGGCAGCTTGTTCCAAGGATGGCAACCGAAGTCATGTTTCCTGACGAGGCCATATTGCACATCCACCCCCGGGGGCAACACACAGCGGGGCACCCCACACACGCCAGGGAGCAGTCCCTGCTCCTCACCTGCATATGCCCGTCGGTCGGCATCCGGCTCAGTTGCTGCCTGAAAGGGGAAGAAGATGGAGTGTGAGAAACAAGGTGACTCAGGACCCCGCTGCAGAGGGGACCTGCATATAAAACCAAAATTACTTGTGGTATGTTTTGAACGCTGCATGAGAATCTGCAAAAAAATATTTCCCCCAAGCACTCAGAAGTTCTGAGTTCAGGTTAATCAAGCGACAGCCAAAGCACCATTTCCCTGATGAAATATCTCACAGCAAGAGTTTACCTTAGGGGTTCAAAATCCCACCAGACGAGCTGTCCCAGACCCAAGCCCCTCTGCATGGGAAGCAATTGCAGGCAGGTGTAGATCCCCCAGAAGGGCCATGCAGTTCCCAGCACCATTCAGACAAACGTTGCTGTAAAGCTGATGCCCACCCCCAGCACCCCAATCGCCCTTGGCCACTTGTCACCAGGCTGAGCACAGAGCAGGCAGGAGCTCTAATAAAAACTCTCAGCCGGCTTAAAGCAAATACACAGAAAACTTTTTCCATGCAGTGCTCACTGCCGCAGGGTACCGCAGAGGCAGGAACAAAACAGATTTAAAAGACAGCTAAACTAAGTTCACCACAGAAAAGCACTCCTGGTTGAAGGCTGTGTTTCACCCTGTGCCCTGCTTTACTCTTCGTACCCAGGCACTGGCTACAGACCACCCTGCACAGAAGTGCCAGGACTAACCGGGAGCCCGCTCCCGTTTCCAACACCGTCTTCCACTCC